TAAAAAAAAATATAAAAAAAAGTTATAAAAGAAAATTTTATATAAAATTGAGTACCTTCAAACCTCAACGAAACTACTGCTACTGTTCTGCTACAAAGCCAAAAACAAAAGGCACCAAAATTATATTCAGCCCTACAGGGTACTTGTGAACATTTTTAGCAAATTTTTTTTGCGGCGCCGGCGTAAAGTGGGCTTACAAGATTATCACTTTTATATAGATAAGCGTTTAGAATGCAAAACGTTAATTTATTTGCGATAAAATTTTGAATAGACGCGAATTTCCGTAACAAGCTTGTTGAAAAAGTGTTCGCAATTCAAATAAATCAAAGAGTAAATCACTATTTGTTGTTATTTTTTAAGTTATCTTTACAAAACATTAGTTAAAAAACCAACCAACTATAAATAAATGTAACTACTCTCAATCTTCTCTGTCTCACGCTCCTGTGGCAAACCAATCAATAACTTATGTTGCTTTTCTCCTTGTAGACCCACCAAATGCGGGCCGTCTCGAGCCCTTCCCTCACAGATGCTCTACAGGAGGAGCTCAACTACGCTTCCGTTGGTCCTACTGCCGCTCCAGCCGTATTTAACACGCATACACAAGCTTCCGGTGCCTCCGGTGACTCCACACCGACAATGGTCACGGCAGCAACAAATAACCAAAGCAACAGCAACAATACCAGCAATAACAATAACAACGGCGCCCGACCATTAGGAAGCCTGCCGAGTAGTCAAAGTGTAGGTGTGTTGCAGAAATTCAAACGCACGCTCACCAATTTCAATAAGCCAGCCCAGCAGCAGCAGCAGCAACAACAACAGCAGCAGCTGTCGCAACATATAACAAGCAGCAATAGCACACAAGCGCTTGTCATGAGCCACTCAACGTCGTCTACAAGCGCCACCATAACGGGTGGTGGTAGTGTCGGTGGCATCAATACGATTGCCAGTGAAAATCAATCCGATCAGTCGACGGCGAATGTCGCGCTCGAAGGTACAGCGGGCAAATACCGTTTTGGTCCGCTAATATGGCGCTCATCGAAGGAGCGTCGCAAGACGAAGTACAATCGTCGAGATAAGTGCAATAGCGGTGACTCGGGCATACAAATCGAACTGGACAATGATGAACAATTCTCGCGCATTATGCTGCCGGCCAATTGTATTGGCGGTAGTGGGGGTGTTGTAGGAGGTGTCAGTGTGGCAACTTCGAGGGCAACGGCCTCGATGACAGCGGCACAACGCATTGCAAATGAGAAGGTAAGTGTCAGCAGAGTGGAATTTTTGTTGATGGACAAATTTTAATGAGCTCTGAAGAATACGGAGAGGGGAGAGGGAAATTTGTGGTTGAATGGAAATTCGGTTACTTTTGGTTGGATTGAGCTAGGTGTCTAACTCAGGCTCAATGAAGGCTATCATGAAGATATGGGGGGAATATTGTCCATAATACTCCTCTCAGTTCACCTTATAGCTAAAGCTTTACTTTTTAAGCGAAAACCTCTCTAATCTCTCTCAAATTGACTTAAATGGGTCACTTTTGGGTCAGTTCTAGTCCAGTATCCCGATTTATGGGACTCCACATACATTTGAAAGTGAGGTTATGTTGACAAAGAAGTTTTATCATAGTTCAGAAGTCTGCAGGCTGGTTTTTAGTATGACATGGAGCAGAAGAATATGTACTTACACTAAAGTAATGCTCCGAGGGTTGGAAACATGGAAGAGCCAAGAAAGGAAAACAGTTTTTCATGACATATACATATGTAGTATTTTTTCATTCCCATGTTAATAAGATTTTGGTAGGGTTGCCCTTTCTTGCAAACTCTTCGGCTTTACAGTTTCCTGCGATTCGCTTCACCCACATAACCATTGTACGAGTAGATATGTCCGCGGAAAAGACACCTGGCTAGATCGTTAGAGATTTTGTCGATGCAAAGATGGTTTCAGAACGTCTCCTTCTGGAGCTCTTAATGCAACCGGTTTGGCGGATACTGATAGCAGACTAAATCAGCAGGGATTCAGTCGAAGTGAAAGAGTGTTTCAGAACGCCTCTTTCTTGAACACTTAATGTACCCGTTTTGGCGGATTCAAATAGCAACCTTCATCAGACAATATCCACGGGGACTATACTAAGGTGTTATGCGTAGTGCACCATTAGTGCGAATGAGAGCCATTGGGTGAGCATATTAGAGAGTATGCTTTCCTAGCGCTCTCCACCTAGGTGAGAGACCCCACCGCTTCCCAATAGCTTTTTTAAGGCAATATAAGACCACTGATGGCTTCCTCAATCTTCCCTTTATATTGAGGCTTCATGACAGCTTCTCATCGAGGATGAGGCCCAACCTTTTCACCTTTTCGACTGTTGATTTTTATAAAATATAAGTCTTAATCTTATTAGGAGCTTTTTTTATATCAGGAAACCCTACACACAACGTCTGCTTAAGTTAGATCATCCTTAAAGCAAAAAGTATTTGTCATGCGTTCGATTAACGCCACTATCCATTGAATATTTTTGTAGAATAGCAAGTAAGCTAGGAGCTGCAGACAGCGTAAATGCCTGCAGGCGAATACGGAGCCTTTTGAGAAGAGGAAACTAATTTTAAATGCTCTTTTTCGTCCCCTGTGACTCGCAGTGAGCAAGTAACTATAATAATAACTCGACTTTAGTCCACCACTCACTTTTCCTAGCGCATACCGTTTTAATTGGTATTTAATTAACCGGATTCTCTGGTTCTGTTCAAGGTCACGCAGAAAATGCGCACTGTGCGTCGCGCCAACTCAGCCAAAGCTACCAGCATGGCAGATCAGTCGGCAACAGCAGCACTCAATGCCAAAGCAAAGATACTCAAACGCATGGAAATGTACGGCGGCAGCATGGAACGCGAAGCGCCAGAATCGCTACCGGCGCGCTCGCTAAGTCAACCCAACGGTTTGGATATGTGCGGCATTGGCCGAACAACTGGCGGTAAGTCACGCACACAAAGGACGAAATTAATTCGAGCAATTTGTTTGAAGTGAAGTTGTTTACGCGATGCTCACGCTTTGATTTGCTTTCTTACAGATATGGAAGACAGTGATAGCGACAGCGTAACCTCACATGAAGAAGGTAAGTTAGTCGAGTCAGTTCGTGACTTGGTCTGAATTTATTTGTTATGCATGTGATGACATAACTGACGCGACTCGCTGTCAGCACAATTTAATTCAATTAAAGCCGGAGTACACTTTCGACTGTCTGTGATTTTAATAAGCTCTACTTTGTAATACTATTTGCTCTTACACTTGTTTCACTCACTTGCAGCGCCAAACTACTATCCGATTTATGCTGAAGTGCTGTACAGCTTCACGGCGGCCGGTCCCCAGGAGCTCGGCCTCGAACGTGGCACACTAATCGAAGTGCTGCGCAAAGAGGTCGGTCCCTGGTGGTTTGGACGCATACGCAAAGATGATAATAATACGCTAGTCGAAGAGATACTCGACCCCGAACTCGGTTGGTTCCCCAAGGAGTTCGTGCGCGTCATACAGTGTCCCAAAACGGATGTGTTCTTCCTTTCGCAAATGTCGACAAATGCCCCGACAAGCGCTTGCAATACACAACATAATACTCTAACAACAAAAAGTGGCAGTTTTAGGAAATTTACCAAAGCAAATACTGCAGGCACAACAACACCTCCAGCAGGCTCCACCACCACAACAATGCCGCAATCATCGACAGTCACAATGACCAGCGTCGCCACGGCTGACTCCACAGTCGACTTGGATGCGACCATTGTGGATGAGAATAATGTGACGACCATTGTGATTGAATCGCCCTCGTACGCGAGCATCGCCAATGTGCCCTGCAACGACAACAGTCAGACGCCACTCAGCGGAAACGGGGGCAGTAGCGTCACAGCAGATTCTTCAAATCCCTCAAATGCGCTGGCTCCATCGCGCAGCATTAATGTGATAATCGACAGCGCGGATATGCTGCGTCGCAGCGCGGTCAAAGAGTTGCTCGACACCGAGGTTAATTATGTCAAGCTGCTGGCCGCCATTTGTGAGGGGTAAGCAAAACGAGATTTTATTTTTTTAGCATTACTTATCCCTTTGTGTTTCTTTTGCAGCTATTTGCCGGCAATGAGCAAGCGCATCGACATATTTTCGCCGAATAGCATACGTTTGATTTTCTCAAACATCACGGCGATCTACAAGTTTCAGCGTAAATTTCTCGAGGCTTTGCGAAAGGGCATTGAACAGAATCAAGTGGCAAAAGTCTTCTTGAAAATGGTGGGTTGGTGCTTTTTCTTTTAATTTTATTGTACAGTCTGTTACAGTATTCACTATTTTTTATACACATTCACAGCACAAGGGTTTTCTCTGCTACTCGACCTATTGCAATGCATATCCACGTGCACTTATAGAATTGGAGACTTACGATCGCATCAAGGATGCTAGAACTATTTTAGACAAGTAAGTAAAAATATTTACAGAACTCAGAGTTTGAGGTTATTGGACTTCGTAGCCATTTGCTATTCGCTTTAAGATAATACAAGCAGGACGTAGAGAGCACATTGAGGTGAATTGTACGAGAAAAAATCTGCAAAACACTTCTGCAGAGCAAAGGGTCCCTCTGAGATCTTTGTGCTTCGTTATCCTCTCTCCTACACTGGGTTCAAATATGAGGTATAGGGCTTGACTTCATTAGAAATATTTCTCGGCCACTTCCCTGCACGCGAACAAAGTTAGTGATAGTCTCTTTTATACAAATTTTATAATTGAAAGGAGAAAAAATCCTAGTAGGGTTCTATAGAAGAGAGCATAAATATACCTCATTAAAGACCTATAATAATAATGGTTCTTTATTCAGAAGCTTGGCAGATCAAACACAGCTATAATTAGATCTCGATAATAGTCGTTTTTTCAGAAACCCGACCCGAACTGGTCCACATACCATAAACTGTGCGCGGAACGCAATAAAACCCGATAAAACTTTTTTCCCGAATTGGTTCAACTTTTTTATTTTCGTATGAAGTCGAGTGAAGTTATGGAAAACGATTCGTTCATCCACCTCGGTTAAAGACGAAACATCGAAAAAGTTGAATACAGTTCCCACGACAGTCGGGTCTAAGTAAGCGGAACGAATTCTTATTCGGCCAAGGTCTGTTAGCTGGGCACACTTACTTTTGAAATATCACAAGTCAAAGAATTCTGCTGGAAATTCGTCGTGTTGGTATCAAAACGATGGCAGAGGAACTCTACATCTTTTATGGATCGTCTCAACACATTTCGGTCAATGCAAAATTGAGCCGAAATCGGAAAACCCGAAACTTGCTAAAGCCACTGAGTATGGAATTGGTGTATCAAAAACAAAGCGTCGGCATTTGGTATTGACTCGCTAGCCATTTTGATGACGATATTTTTCGTCAGTCCGGTTCAAAATTGATCGGATAATAGAAACATATTTTTTATAAAAGTCTTAGAAACGACTTTCTCCCCGAATATAAAGTTAAATTTTCTAAAAATTCGAGTACCCGTTAGAATAATTTTGTATTCTTTTAAGGTTATGGCAGGATTTACAGGTTTATTTGAGAACCCAAGTATAACACTAAAAGGTTCTTAGCAAATTTAAAAAAATTGTCCAAAATTTCTAAAGTTCAAACCACTAACTTTGAGATAATTTCAGGCAATTTGTTTGAAAATTATTTAATTATATTTTACTTATTTCAGTTGCCGCGAATCAGAGAACCTTGCTGAGCTGCCACTCTCCGCACATCTCTTGGCACCCGTACAGCGTATCTGTCGCTATCCACTACATCTCAGCGAAATACTCAAAGGCGCAACCAAATGTAGTGAAATGCCCGAGCATGAACTGGGCGAGTACGAGCAAATAGATGTCAGTCAATTAGATATACCCGATACATATGAGAAAATCGATTTGGCACTGGAAGCAATGCGCGGCATAACAGAGGCGGTGAATGAGGGTGAGTACTGGCCGCATTTTTTGGCACATTTTTAAATGTTTCATGCAAAATTTCCTACACTTTCGCGCAGGCAAACGACATAGCGAAACAATTGCGCGCCATCAGGCCAGTTTCCAGAACTTCAAGGGCCCACCACTGCACCTGCACAGCACGCGCTTCTTCCTGCAAATCGATGCCACGCGTCAAAAGCAAAATCTCTGGAACAGCAGCTGCACGCTTTTCCTCTTCGACAACCAGCTGATCTACTGCAAACGTGACATCATCAAACGCAGTCACTTCATTTACAAGGGACGCATCTTCCTCGATCGCTGTCGCGTGGTAAACGTGCGTGACGGCAAAATGTTCGGCCACAATATACGCAACTCGTTGCGCATCTACTGTGAGGCGCGCGACAAGTGGTTCGATTTCAGCTTCCGCTCGGCCAATCGCAAACATCGCTTCCTCAGCACGTTGGCTTTGGAGCGCCAATTTGGCGGCAAGGCTTTCTATGTCTCCGAAATGACCGGTTTCGAGTACGCCTACGATGAGCGCGACTACTCGGATCAATCTGACTACGAGTTGCCCGAGTGCGAAAACAGTAACAGCAGCGGTGGTGGTAATAGCGCTGCTGCCGGAGTAGGAGCTAACGCTGGTTTGTCTGGCGCAACGCGTCACTGGTCCATGGCGGATGTGAGCACGTCGAATGCAGGCGGCGCTTCGGCAACCAGCGGTGATAGTTCAGTACCGGAATCGCCAGTCAAACACAAATATAGCGACACTTTGCCGAAGAAATCGCAAACACGTGACGCTTGTGGCGGCAGCGGCACCGTCAGCGAAAGTCAGACGGGCTCACTGGGACGCCGACGTTTGGGTAATTGGTTCCGCAAGCCGAAGAGCAGCAATTCAACGCCAAATCACTCGCCCACGCACAAGGCCAACGAGCTGACGGCGGGTTTAGTGGGCGGCAGTGAGAATAATATATCGATTAATTTGGGTAGCGGTAATTATATATCGTCGGGCTCGTCGGCGTGAATGCGCGGCTGTGAGTCAATCATATTTTTGAAGCATTAAAAAGAAAAAAATGAAATGAATCTCTCATGAAATACTTAAGCACTCGTGTCACAGCGTTGCACGAAGGCACATTTTACGACACACACACATACATACATATATTTGTTATATAACAAGAAATGCAAATATTAAAAGACAATGCAAGCAAAATTTGCGTACCCGCTGTGCAACTATGTATTTGCTCTGTAAAAGTCAATTATGTATGCAAATACAGGTGATTGCTTTCGTTATTGTTCAAATATTTTATAAAAAAAATAAAAATAAAAAAATACTGCTAAAAAAGCAGTGATTTTATTACAAGGCACAGCAGCGCAAAATTTCAACAAAAGTGTAGTGGTGATTTTCGAAAATTTTACAATAAAAAATTAAAAAACAAAGAAATATTGAAAAATCATAGTGACAACAAAGCTACAAATAGTCAGTTCATGTCATAGTCATAGCAAAAAACTTAAAATATTGTATTAAAATTGTTGGTGTATAGGTTTCTTTGTGTAGTGGTCACATGCATATGGCCGTATGCTGTATAAGTGAAAATTCTCAAATATTGTGCTGAATCCTTCAAAGCATTGGTAGAGTAAATTTTACAAATTTTCTAAATGTACAACACTTTTATGCCAAACTGTACTCTACTACCCCCGTTCTACTATATAAAATTTAAAGTCGAAAAAAAATTAGCGAAAATTAATGACATTGAAAAATAAGTGTTAACATGAAAAAGCAATTGTTTAGCGTGAATATAAACAAACGTTTATTGTTTAAATAGAAGTAGAAATGTAAGTGCACACACACATACACATGCCAAACAAGAAAACCATAGTTACAGTAATGTATGATGAAAAATTATTGCAGAAAAATAATAAAATAAAAATTTAAAAAATATAAAAATAAAAACAACAACTCAACAACAGTTACAACGCCGATGCGAATTGTCCTTAAATTTGTTTAAAATTAAAATTCGTTATTAAAAATGCTTAAATGAAAAAATAATAAATAATAATAATAATAATAAAAGCTATAATGTTTTTTAAAATATTGTAAATACATGAAATCAAAGCTGTTAACATAGAAGAAAGCGTTG